ACAACACAAACGGAGGATGTCAGTAAGACAGCGGTGTCTGTTGGGCAATAGATTTTCCCGCACACTATGTCGCTTTCAAAATCACCTTACACCTAAAAATCGTTTAAAAAATGTCGGGTTCGCTATCCGCTGCCACCAGTGTAGCGTCCCGAGGCTTCCTATAGGGTGGTAGAAGGCATGAGTGAGGGTGAATACATGTATTCGGAAGACGTCAGGGCAAATCGGGTTTGAGCGTGGTCCGAAGGCCAGCCCACATGTGCAGAGGTCAAACAAATTCCAAAGCGGCCGACAAACGTCATGTTGTCACATAAACAAAGCATTACAATTACCTTTCACCAATGGCCCTTGCTTTAAGGCAACCCACATTTCTCTTAATGCCGAAATATTTATAAAACTGCCATTTTGTGTGCACAAATGCTTGTTTGTCGTACACTACAAATCTGTGCTGGGTGTACCTTCATTGTGCTGATGCATCTTATTCTGATTCGTCTTTCAAAGGCGATTTCAGCATCTCAAGACACTTTTTTTCTAAATATTTAGAACACCCGTGCACACAAGTTGGTTTTAAAGACGTGTCGAAATGCTTGCATTGAAAACCACCGATATACATATTCATTCATTTTTTTTGCGTTCCCTATCCTTTTGTCTGTATGCATTTTAACAATCTTGAGAACGCCTTGGGTTCGCTATAGGTGAGCTAGACTGTGAGTACTGACTTAGATATCATAAAGCATTAATCGTTAATTGGGTTCATTGGGCCATTACTGCCTGGACTGTGTTATTTCTACAGTCTCTGAAACAATTACATAGTGGAAAAGCATTTAGTGCATCATTGTGCATAAACACTTCTATGGAGCTTATTCGTAATGGAATATGAAGCCGAGTGGATACCAATATGTACTGTCTCAATGTCGCGCCATAGAGTAATATTTGCTTCAAGAGCTTTGGAAATGGTAACTTATTGTAATCGGTTTGTGTTTATGCGTGCCACCTATTTTTGTGACAACCAGCCATCCGGTCGTCTATTCTCCTAGTCTCAAGGTCTTTTACTTCGCATTTAGTACAGCGTGCAGGGAAATCGGGTTGCATTGCTAAGGAATTCCCCGATGTTAACCCAGAGTAGGCTCAGAAAGCTCCTTCATGTACGGGAGGAATTAGGACAATTTTGTTCTGCAAGAACAATTTAGAAACCTCATAATATTACAGCAGGAGCAGCTGCACTATTTTGTTCATCACCACCTCGTCATCAAATAACAACGACATTCTTAATAATGTCGTTATGAGTGTCAAATAGGTAGCGTTAAATAAGTGTAAAGGCTGTCATTGATATTATCGAAACCCTCTTTGGATCATAATCTTCACATTTGATAGTCGCCCCTCTAAAATTTAATTAAGATCGATCTGTGGCTGCCCTGAGCCATTGGTTGAAGAGGTGGCGATTCATTCAGGTTTCTATTTGGAACGAATCTTAATTTACATGCATCAATCAAACAATCACATATTTAAGTCCCGTTACGCAAAAGACGTTGCAAAGAATAGTAATGTATTTAAGTTGCCCTTGCAGAAGCGAGGCGGTTTGTCACTCCGAACGCCTTGCAAGTTGAGTGCAAGAATCCTTTAAGAACTAGCTCCTAAATTCCGGCTGCAATTCAATCGCTACAAACTGTACTGTTATGACTATGTCCGATAAATCTTCTTCTGAGCGCCTTCCCTTTGGGAACTGTGATTAAGAAGAAAGCAGGATGATAGGTACTACAGACGCCACCTACGACCACGAAGATCTGCACCCTAAGCATACTCAACATTGATTATTGTATTTTGTTCCTAACACAATACGTTACAAAAGTAAGATAACTGAAATTATTGAGGTTGGACTAACGGCAAGTTTGTCGAAAATTGCTTTGAAAACTTCCAATATTTCGGCCATTCAAAGAGCAATATAGATTATCAATAATTTCGCCATTTCTATGGGCGTTCCTAATTTCCTTGACACCTATGATGCGGCTGCCATACCAAGTTTCAGTGAATTGACAAAATTCAGCAACAGTTATGCAACAACCTAATCCATTGTCCGATATCGGGATATACACCTGAAACATGAAGGGTCTTACTTAGTAGGTATAACAATAACTCCAACCCCAAGCACACTTTCAAGGTATGCATCAGGTCTGACCACTAGTTTTTCGAGAGGTCTTGAAACACTGGAATCGGAAGCTTTGGGCAGTGTATGAGTTGCTGAACATAACATATTTCACCCTACAAAATTCTTTACCTTCCATAATTAATAAATTTAATTTTAGCCAGATGAGCCTTGCTACTTAGATCATAATTGAGAACTCTAAAAATCGTTTTAATGGTTCAATCTTGGCATCCATATTATTTGCGAAAGCTGGTTTCGGTTTTATGAAGAGATAATGAAAGGGGTAATATTGTCTTTATGTGGCTTTGTTTCTTTTCATTTTGGCTAAATCAGTAGGTGGGGAGTTGGTTTTAATGTGTTCGTGTTCACCTTTTTGTATTTATTTGGCTATACTTGCTGTCTGACTAAAACAATAAGGTACCTTATTGCAGAGGCGAGGTCGCAAAAGGGCCCGAAGATCAAGTACTCGGGACGATGACGAGCCCTCTGATGAACCAGTTTATTGTATTTGTCGGTCTTCTGTGTGTGACACCTTTATGATGTGAGCGATTTGGGTTCCTCTTATCTGTCCTAGTGCATGTGATGCTTGTGAGGAGTGGTACCATGGGGAGTGCATAAACGTCACCCCTAAGCAAGCAGAATGCATCCAGAAATTTTACTGCCAGGCATGTAGAGGTAGGCTAGCTCATCTTTTCTATCAATATGCGACTGTAGATGAGAAGCCTGAATTACAGATAGAATTCAAACCGGATCATATGAATGGGCGTCACTCCTACGGGAGTCGGCATCGGCCTGCAGATATTTCTTGCTCCACGATGGGTGATGCGGATGATTACGCGGATAGATTTGGCAGCATTCAGTCGCGCAAGCGTAGCAGCAAACATTCCCAACCTCTGCAGCCTAAATCTCGTAGAGTTCCCAGCGCAGTGCCTACTCGGCTCGGTGAATCTTCAGAGGACGAGTTTGACCTTGATCACTCGCAGTTCGCATCTCCGTCGTCGAGTTACTCGCAGTCTCATATTGGGCCTTATTCTTCCCGTTCGAAGTACGGTCGTGTTACACTACCAACCTACGAGAACTCAAATTGTGTGGATTTTCAGCAGTGGCGTCGTCCTTTTTCTCGAAATAGATCTCCTCAGCCATGTGGTGAATGTGACAGTTGTAAAACCAGGGATAACTGTGGTACCTGCGAGGTTTGTAGGAGTCCGAAATTCAAGCAGGCTCGCAGCCGACAACATTGTTTACTCAAAGGGAAGATGTGCCTGGCGAATGATTCTGATTTCCAACAGCCTTGGAGGCAACAATCATCGAGAGGTCGGTATGCCCCACCATGTGGTGAGTGCGAGAATTGCAAAACGAAGGGGAATTGTGGAACTTGCGAAGTATGTCGAAGTCCAAAGTTTAAGCAAGGCCGAAGTCGTCAGTATTGCCTATACAGAGCAAAAATATGCCTTGGCAATGGGCTTCAGAGGCAATCGTCAAAAATTTCTAGCCAAAGGTAAGCATTTGCTTATCCCTTTTCATAATCTACGTATAGTCACCTGCCCGATCCCGACTATGAGACTCATTTCGATGACTTCGCCTCATCCACGCGTTTCTCTTCGGGAGGGCGTAAGGGTGCACCGATGATTGGGAGCAAAATGCGTAGGGGTGATCATTTGCCCGGTGGTGGTATTGGTCCTTCAGGCCGCCTTGCTCATGATCCCCAGTTTCCCAGGCGCGGTCCCCACTCGGATTTGAACCTCCTGGATAGCTCCGACTTTGTTGACGCTTACAGCATTTCTCCTACTCATCGCACCGATCGCAATGGCTCATCGCGTTTTGTTGGTCCTAATAGTCGTCAGAATGACCTTGACTCGCGGGTTATGCGCAATGTTGGTGGCATAATGGATACCGACGATCTTCTGGCACCTGCCGACGCTCCCCCTAACTACGATTCCGACGAAGATGTTGTTCTACCTGAAATGCGTCCTTGTGCTGGTCCTGCGTGTTCCAAACCCGCAATCCGTTCGAGATACTGCTCGGAGGAATGCCAATTGCGCCATGAAAGGTGAGTTTTTCGGTTTCACTTTAATCAGTTTCAGTGACAGCATTAACAGGATGCACACATCATCCCGCTGTTCCAGTGTAAAGGACCAGATCAAAACTCCGTAGGTTTTCCAGTATGCTATCTTATTAACCCTGTATAGATATGCTTTGCCCTATCCGGACCATCTATACTGTCGACATCATCGCATGTACAGTTCTCAAGTCTATAATGTGGACACATCCCTAGGCGCACAGCAGAGTGGCTCGTCCGTTTCAGATATGTACTCCGATGTTTACACCACCTTTGTAAGCAGTAACCAATCTGCGGTCATGGATTATGCCTACGATCCAATGGCAGGCTCTTCTCAGATGCCAACTGGGTACAGACGGTTGTCTGCGGCACAGGGCAATGGTCCAGATGACTACTTTGCTACATATCCTCAAGGCAACCATGTTTCCAAAGTTGGTTCTGGTGGTCATTCACGCAAATTCCCCAGTCTGGAGGATATGCGTGGTCGTGGCCTGCAATCTACACATCTGGTCGGGAGTCGAATGCTGCCGCTCACTGGCCGCCGGCAGGTGCATTCATCACTGGGCACTGTTGTTGGTGGGAGCGGCAGCTCTGGTAGTGGTGACGTCCTCTCCCCAGTTCCACTAGAATCTATAACCCCCACAATGCAGTCCATTCGCATGTATAATGGTCATTTGGGCGGTGGACCGCCCGACTATCGTGTGAATTCGGGTGACGGGGAGAGTGCGGCTGCCGCAGAGTTACTGACAGCGGATGCTAACGATCTGATAGATGTGGATGGTACTTCCTCGTCGGGAGTTGGCGGTGGCAGTATGAACGCGGTCGCATCGGCTGGTGCTCCCACTTTCAGACAAGGCGATGAGTACTATATGATGAATGAAAACGAAAATATTGAGATAAATTGGCCAACTTCTCCGGGAGGTGTGGCCACTGCTTCGGCTGGCACTGTTTAAATTTCCAGTAATTATTTCTGTCCTTGTATGTTCGTCCTGTCTGCACACTCGCGCACACGTCCATCCCCAGTGAAACTTTACCCGCACGCATTAATTTCGAGAGGTAAACCGCGCCGAATTGGTATATTCTACACCCACGTTTCCTACTGTAACTAACGTGAGGCAGCTTTCCTTAACTCGTTTGTCACCTCCAACAATTCATTTCAACTCTCCCTCACAAGAACACTCCGTTGAACTGTGTATAGTGACTATGCACTCGGATCCCCCTGACTTTGTACATACAGCATTTCACGTCCTAGAGCGGGCCGTGTCCTCGGGCAAAAGATTGTACATTTATAGTGTTCCGTTGAGGCCTTTTCGTCCTAGTCAAGTTAGCTTTTGCCTGTCTTCCTCTAAACGTGTAAAAATTGTGTATGTTTATATTTATTTTGGAATATGTATAGCACCGGCCCCCGTCATAAACATTATGATCAAGTGCTTGTATATTTAAGGTTTCTAGCACTGCAGTAGTTCGAGTTTGTCGTTTTTCCTTTGGGATAGTTTAACGATTCGGTTTGTTAAGGTCATTGCTGACGACTGAAAGTCTGAGCTGTCAATTTGAGTCTTCCGAATTTGGAGTAATCAATACGGATTGGTTGCCGGTTCGGTGGCTGTGCGCGCTAGGCGTGAGTAGTGTCGAGGTGCGGCTGATGGGAGTGATGGTCTGTTACTCGACTTGAAATGGTAGCTACACCCCAAACTCAGGTGGCTGATGGTGACGGTTTATTCTCGT